CCCGGTCAGAGTGACTGTGTTAATTTCGAAGCTAGCTCTCGTAGAAGTCTTATGGGGAATGAATATCAGGGAGTTTCTAGAGGCATCTTTTCTATAAGTTTTGTGCAATTTGTGTTTTTATCAGCTACTAAAATAAATTATTTACACGTCATTCAGTTCAAAGCTGATATCCAAAAGACTGTCCAAGAACTAGGACGATGTGCATTTATGATTGCCCACAAGTATTATAAATGTTAGAAAAAAGTGTAGAACAAAATATTTAGATATTTTACTGAACACTATACTTTATTTCTCGTAATATACATATTTTAGAAACCGTTCTGTGTTAAATAAAAATATTTTTCGAACCCCTAAAGGAGACAATCGTATTATCGGAAAAGATCCCAGACTCGTTTCAAATAAGTATTTTACAGCAAAAAATTGGAAAACGTTTTGAGGAAATATTACTTGGACGTTTTTGAAAATTGTCAGTTTGATTCTCTTTACTCAAAACGGTGAATTTAAGAAATTTCTTGTCATTTAGACCTACCAACAAGACTGCAAATACATTCTAAGAAGAAATATGGATATACGAGCGGTAAAAATCTTCTTTATCAGAATCAAAAGTTTTAAAAAATGGGTCTGTTAGAGAAACAATCTTGTTTAAATGTTTATGATTCAATAAAAATTAAAACAATAGATTATTACATAAGTAAAAGCAATATTCTACTCTGTTTATCGTAACCAGTACGTTTAATTCCACTTCCATTCTTCTAATACATAACAGTTTTGGAGAATACAGTTTTAGCATTCTAGTGCAATAATATTTTATACAATTTTATATAATATAACAATTTTAGTTTGTCCCAAACCGATAATTAACGTTAACAAATAGGAGGGGAGGGGTCACCCGGGAGGGGTCCCATGGGAGAATTTGGATTCCAGACTTGATTATTTCTTGTATAGTTTCATTTGAGAATGTAAATCATTGTGATATTCAGTACAGTTTCTATAATCTTCTGCAAAATCTTGCATAATCCTATACTCATCTCTTGATTGCAGGCTATCTGTAAATTCTCAGAAATCACTTTAAACTGTCCTTTAATTAGATGTTTTCAGGAAATTAGATTTTTTGAAAATGTATTTTTTCCTTAATTTTGAATAAAATTATGAAAAAAGAACAGAATATTTTCTACAAAAGGGCTTTAATTTTTTTTACAGTTTGAACGAATGTAGCAACATTTTCTTAGTAATATGACATAAATACGATTTTTAAACATTTAGAAAATTGTATAGTTTCTGCAATATATCTTTAAACACGTTTATGTATAATGTTTTCAGAATATTAGTAGTCTTTGCATAGTTTTGTGTTATGAGTTAAAAATCGCCTCAACATTTATCGCTACCGGAGCTCGTATTACATCGAGTGTATTTAAAATGCCATAATGAATTTTCATTCACTCGACGTAACACGAGCTCTGGTAGCGATGGATGAACGGCCCTTGAATGGTAAATCGTTGCAATCATGTTCAACTCCCTGCCTAGGAACATATTTTTCCTTCAAACGTGCGTAAGAATATAGCACAATACACCGATTCCGATGGCAGAAAGCCGTTTTCATTTCAACTTTTGAATTTTCTAAACATTAAAAATTTATTTTTTAACCTCTCCAATTCGTTTGACATTTGATAATTTTTAATTTTTTACCTTTATTGCATAATAAGAGAAAGTATTGTAATCGTGTACCGGAAAATAGCGAATTTTCGATAGAAAAACTTTATTGCTGGACCCTGGTAACAAAAAAGTGGATAAAACTTGTTAAGTAACGTGCACCTTTTATGTTACTAATTGAATGCCAATTCCTGAACACAATTATCAACCTCATTATAAATACGAAAAATGGAGTTACACCACTTGAGCTTTAAGGGCCTTATTCGATGTGAGCATGCGAGGGGAATACATCAGGAAGCATGTCAGGAAACAGGGGTTAGGTGGATGGAAGAATTGAGTGAAAATTTAGCTATTCTGTTATTTAGCTATGCCTCTTTTCCGTATCAAGATGGTCAGAAACAAGCCGAAACTAGAAATCTTCCTAGAATTAAATTCATTCTTAATATTCTCGTCATGGCGGAGCTTCAATACTTCAAAGTACACTTCAAGTTTTGGTCTGAATTTGGGATCAAATATGAAGCTATTTTCACATTTGAAACAATGTTTCTCAAAGGGAGGAAATTCGCACGAGGGCAGCTACTAATTTATTATTAATAAATATAGTAATTATAAAATATTTAAGTTTCTTCAGAGTTTGACGGTCATTAAAAATATACCATTTTGAGGAAAGAGATGATCATTAAAGACGGAAACTATTCATAATAACGAAAAGATTTAATGATTGATGGTGGAGATTTGTTTCATTACACTGCAAGGAGACACTATTTCTACCTATGAAACATAATTTTTAGGCTTGAATGTGCCATCTGTGTTAATGCAAATGCGTTAGACGATCGCTGAACACGTAATT